CTCACTAGCGTTGCGTTCAATATAAATGCAGAAGAATAAAAAAAAAAAGAAATACGATCATGGAATTCTACAACCAGTGTTAGGTCCCTTAAGCTAAAAATCAGCTCAGTAAAACTAGATTAACTTTCTTTTCCCTTTTTTTGCTTCCCCATCTCTTTCGCCTTTTACTTTCCATTTTATTCGATACCGCACTGAGGTTTATTTGATCACGTTAATGACATCAAAGGCCCTTTATACAACAACCTGAACACTTCAGCAATCAACAATTCGAAGTTACCTGATCGGAAAGAATTAAGAGTAAAGTTTCTTCAACAACTAGAAGTCGGAATTAATCAGACTAATAAAAATACTCAATAAATCCGCTTTTTTTGTTGCGTTGATACGAAAAAAAACTGTTGAAAGAGAAGCGACAGTTCAAGATAGTAAGCAAAGAAAAACGTTCTATATATATACAGTAATAATGGTTACTTAAGTAAACAATGTCACATTACTTACTCATTAAGCATCTCACTGAAAGCATGTAGAAGATTAAAACTTCTTTATCAAAAGCAAAAAAATCGGAAACCCTTTTTGTGACCCTGAGGAAAAAAATCACCTGGAAATACGTAATGAGCTGAAGAGAAATAACTAATAAAAAATTTGTCCCATTTTCAATCCACAGAACTACGTTTACGACAGCAATGCCAAGATTTTTGGCCCAGTATTTTGGCAAATCTTCTATCAAAAAGTTCTTGACTGTTTCAGCTCAGAATTCGTAGAAAAGAGGGAGAAATAGAATAAAAGTAACTTCTCCTTCTATTTTCGACCTCTCCCGTCTTCCCTTTCCTTTCTTCTTCTGTTTATTTCTCCTGCTCTTTCACAGGTGACTCAATTAAGCTGTCATTTTAAGAGGGCTGATAAAAAACAAACAGGCTTGCAAACAAAAAACGACAAACACAACATACACATAAAAAACAGTGTTTTAGCACATTTCACGCTAAAAACAACAACATCAAACTTTAAGAAGAAAGTGTTAAACTAAAAAAAAAATTTTTTTTTGCGGAAAAACATTATAAAGAACTTCTGGTGCTTTTTTTCTACGCTGAAAAAAACAACAATAACGCTTTAAAAAGCCATTTTGATTCCTTTTTTTTTTTTACTGCACTCATCTATCTGTGTATTTCTCCGAATTCCAATCAGTATGAACAGAGAGACACAAAACCACCCCAACAACAATGACTTTAAAAAAAATGAATTAAAAAACTTCTCGAGTTCTTTCCTTCATTCTTTTCTTTTTTTTCTTCTTTCACAAAAATCCTCGCAATGGAAACCTTGATATTAATCGTTCAAATAATTTGAAAAAAAATTTTTTTTTTTTTTGAAACTAGTGCAGATTAAATGCAGCAGTATTGAAACCAACAACGAGACAGGATTTTAAGTTTGCGACTTTGACAAACATATACACAAATAAATACATGTAAACAAACACAGACTCAAAAATCTGAATATATATAAATTTATCAACCAGCTAAAAAAGAAAAATAAAATAAAAAATAAATAAAATAGAGTATAAATAAGTAAATAAATAATAAATAAATAAATAAATACATAGATAGATATAAAAAAAGAGAAAGAAACGAAAAAGAATACCCAAGAGACATCGAAGCTCTTCCTAGAAAATTTTTTCCACTAACGTCGTCAATACAAATAAACAAAATAAAACCATTTTTTCTTTCTATCTGTTCGAAGAAATAAAAAAATATATATGTATTTATAAAGCTTAATTCTGCCTAGCTGAAAAGCACGAAAATATTTGCAAAATAAAAAAATTGCCTTTTTTTTTTTTGCAAAAACAGTTAGAAACTAATGCAACAATGAAAATTGTTTTAGTTTCTCCTTTATTTGTTGCTGGTTCTTTTTTTTCGGTTTTTTTTTTTTACAACTGTTCATGCAAAAATAAAAAAAGAAATGTGCTCATAAAAACGAAGAATGAATACTGTTTTCTTGTGTTTTTATCAAAAATGTTAAAAAGAAAACAAAAGATGAACAATAAAACTGCGTGTCCAAAATAAGCAACAGAATAAAGATAAAAAAAAAAGTTGAAAAACTGTTTTCTTTTCCGTTTTTCCTCACACTTCTAAAGCTGCTCATTTTTAAAATAACTACAAACCATCAGTTGGAGAAATGCAAAAGAAAAAATTAAAACATTTAAATATAGAAATAAGAACGAAAAAAAAAAAAAAAAAAAAAAAAAAAAAAAAA